CGTTGTGTCAATGAATTGTGAAGACCTTTTAGATCTGTTATCGTGCAGTTGATCAGAGCAAAGAAGTTCAATTAGAACGGATTTAACAACGTAGTTAGTAGTGAAGCTAGTCTGGGTATACCGGGTAGCAGGTGGCTGATTATCCCGCGCACTCTTGTAGTGGTAGTTGTACTATACCGCATGCACGCGTGTGTGTGTGTTGGGGAGGGGGGGCAACCGTCGCTGACCACGGCCCCGACCGATTAGGCAACCCGCCCACACACCTGCATGCGGCACAGTATAACAACAAAAGTTCAAGTTCAGTTAAGGGTTATAATGACGGCTAAGGTTAATCCTCCACCTGGTGTATCACTAATCTGACGTCATAGTCTGTATGCATATTCATGATGATATCAGAGGATATACTGCTATATCAAAGTCAGAGGCGATACCGTAATTCATATTCTGAAATCACAATCAGAATGGTAACATCTTCCGTCTGATGTTACAGTACATAATGGCCCACGCACCCCGGAACATTTCGTAGTTTTACTTTGTCCGATGGACGCGTGTGCGTGCGTTGCACATACTCGCTTGGGGCCCTCCGAGCCAGAAATTGAATTCGATTCGCACGTCGGCGTTGCTCGGAAAAAGTGATTTTCTCACTCTAATCGAGCTATCAAGGTCAGATCAACGGTTCGTGGGTCTTCCTAGCGTTTTGCCCTTCTTCAGTGTAGCAATACCAACTCTATAGTGTAATAACGTCGCACGTACTGACTAGGGCGCTCGCTTCCCCGCTTTCCTTTCACGACTCTCGCTATTTCTAGGGATACATGCTACATTTCACTCAAATTATCTCAAAGTGCCCCCTCCCCTCCTCTACCCCCAGCCTTTCCATCTAGCTTGGTGCTGGTCTTGCTGGGGGAGTGCTCGTGGGCGGCGGGGGACTTTGCGGGGGAACCCGTCGGGTGGGCCCCAGCTCCAGCCCTGCGGAGTCCGCGTGCGTTACGTGGCTGTGGAGGTGGGCTGCAGGCGGACAGCTGTCGGGCGCGTCGGACCTAACCTCTTCACTCCAGCTGCTCCAGCTGCTCCAGCGGCTGCGAACAACGGTGGCGGTGGGCGCACTGCAGTCACGTGGTCCTGGTCTCGGGTGCGCCGAGGAGTGGTGGGGCCCTCCACTCGGGACGGGAGAGAGGGGCTGGAGCGGGCTGAGGCCGGCCGAATGGAGCGGGCGGGCCGGCGGAGTCGTGCGTTGGCGCGTCGCGGCCGGGTGCTGGAGAAGGGGAGGCGGTGCGCGCCTCAGCTGCAGCCCCGGGTCCCTGCAGTTGCAATGAGGCCCCACCTCAACAAGGGGACATTTTTTATGAATATGTTTAGTTTGGCCGTGTTCGTGTTTGGCTAATAGTATGTAGCATAGCACGCACAGGGAATGTCACGTATTTTCGATTACCATGGATTACCCCACGCATTACCCTGTTTCACGCACATTACTCCCGAATTCACCCCGAATCGACATATGCCCGCATATGCCGTGGCTAGGGGATCAGAGATCATTCAGAAAGTACGCCCGTCATTAGCAATTACGAACGTGCCAAAGTTGAGCCTCAGCAAGCTCTCATGTTGTCCACCAGATAGGCAATTTCTTGCCTGGAGTGCATGCGTGTCCTGCGGCGTGGCCTATCGCACGTCTCGCAGGCGCCGAGCTCCCCTAATTTACCGATTGAGTTTGGTATGAAAAATTCGGACGTATGGACGAACCCTTACCCACCCAAATCGCCCACGGTGGACCCCCACTCCCTCCACCTTTTTAACGATTCAGCTTTACTGAGAAAACAACGTCATGCCACAATGAGTTGAATACTTTTGAGTTTTACCGGCGAACAACATGTCCGTCGTGACGAGGACGTGAACGTGACACGGGTTGTGTTAGCAGCCCCCCCCCCCTCCACTTCTTCTTGGCGTCGCGGTAGAGTTAAAGTAGAGTGGGTGCAGGGTGCACCTATGGTAGTTACACTGTAAATCCGGGGTGTTCAGCAGGTAGGCGACTTATGTCGACTATCTGCTGGACACTTTTTGTTCTTCCGGGTATTTGCACTGTATGAGTCCATAGGCATTCCACCCATTGTGCCCATGCAATTAAGATATCCTACAGATAGTCGACATAAGTCGCCTGGTTTTGCGGGTCAGGCGACTTTGTCGCCTACCTGCTGTACACCCCGGAATTACAGTGTACCCACCCACCCTAAACCCTCTCGCCCGCCCGTCCGGCCTTCTTATCTCATCTGGAGAGTGTTGGTGGGCAGCTCGTCGTGTCTCGGTGCTCAACGTCGTTGTCGGCGTCGCAGTGCGAGCCGCTATTGGAACAGGGGGAGAAAGTGAAATGTTTGACGCAGTGATGATGGTGATTACGGCATGGAGTGTCCGTCCACCCGCTCCGCCCCGCCCGGCCCCGCCACTTGCTTGGCGTCGCCGGGAGGGCGCAAGGCATTGCTCACGCTGCTTAGCATATGCCTGTTCACTGCCAATAACTCTCCGCCACTACACAGCCGTATTTTCTCAAATTTGATTGCGCTGCATGACGCGGCTGCACTGCCGTCCTCCACCATGGGAGCAGCGCCGCGGGCGGCGCTCGCCTCGGAGAAAGTGGCTGCAAAGGACGGGCATCGGGATCGGAGTTGACCTTCCAGGAGGCGGTCGGGCCGGGCGGCGCGGGGCGCGTCGGGTCGGGTCGCCTCACCTCGGGTAGGAGGATGAAGATGCGCCTCGCGCGTCACACACGTGCTGCTGCTCGCCTCCGCGCCGCCGAGGAGGTTACGAGCTTCACGAGCTTCCGGGTGCGATGGTGGGAGCGGGAGGGGGAGCGGGCAGGAACCGATACGGCGCTCCGCTCAATCAGCCCCCCCCCCCCCCCCGAAAACGTGTTCTTTATATTGGTACATTGCACCTGATTCTTCGTGTTTCATTGAAGAACAATGTACTTGTTTGAAGACTGAATGAAGTACACGAGTGGTCAAGGACACGCTTTTCTGCTCTCTGGCAGTCGCGTATCTTCTACCCGAAAGTCACTGAGGCACTTCGCGAGTCGCCCCGGTCCCCCCCAGCCGCACGGTCTCCACAATACCCTGCCTGAGCGCGGCCAGGTGGGCGCCGTGCGGGTAGGCAGCCCAACCGGCGGCGGCCGCCAGCAGCGCGCGCACCGCGGCGGGACGCTGTGCAATGCAGCCGCAGCTTGCAGCACACTGGAGACGCCGAGGAGCTTCTCCCGGCAGGCAGACCTTGCCGACCAACTTATTAGACGAAGGTTGGAGCGATTATCATCTTGCCAACTGCCGAGGCGATGGCGTTCGGTGGCGACATTTTCTGCATGATGGGGAGTTTTCCTCCTCTGACTAATGGTCCTATTTTGACGACACTTCAACCCTCGCGCAGTCCCGCTGGGGGGTGATTATTTTGGGATAGCAGCTTCGATGTCGAGGTTAGTTTTGTGGCCCACGAGGTCCGACCTTCGCCGATTTAGTTTCGAATTCAGCGAAATGCTGAACCATTTTACAACGAATGTGTCTTTGTGCGCAAGCCACAAATCGACATTAAAATCGGGGAGTACCGTCATAAAGTCGACTTTTCATTCAACATATATCAAATTCCTTACTGGGCCCCGGGAGGGAGGAGGGGGGGGGGGAATCAAGGGTTCCCAGGGCGGGCCAGGGCTTTCTTGCGTCACTCGGCTGGCCTGCCTACCGTCGATACCCTGGAGAGGAGTCCTCCCAGAAAAAACTACATAACTACTGTAATCTCGTGTCTGATGCGCGCTCATAGGCCCTCGTTATTCTATCGCCCGCTGGACTTTCTCCACCCCGTATGGCGTTCGGCCTGCAGGCCTGTATATAGTCGCCCACATGGACAATGCCGATAAACTCTGCACAGGAGCCGTGGCTGGAGCAGCCCTGCCCATAGGGCTCGAGTGGCTACCTACGGTACCGGCCTGTGGCGCGGCTGCCCCGAGCGGAATGTGACCGCTGTGACCGCCCCAGCATCTCTCTGCAACACGACCGCTTATTGCACACATGAGTGTCGTGTCGTGTGGAACGTATACGCCGCCGCCGCCGCCTCGACCTCAGAGCGACGTTGAGACACACACCGACGTACACAAACACACACACGCGCAAACGGCCGTAAAGCAAACCGCGACAGTCTGGCAAGAAGGAGGAAGAAAAACTAACACATTGCGCTCAAAACGAGAACGCCCCTTCTATCCATAAAATCTAAGAAATAACTGCACTCTCCCCCCAAATAATAATAATATTACTTTTCAGCATTTTCCCCACGCGGTTTTGTGCTCTTTGCTTTTGCCGCTTTTGCCTGGCTACCCCATTATTGGCCGAGAGGTTTGTTGGTAGGTGGGACAGGCGGCCCCCTCTCCCCCAAACCGGAAGAAGACAACACACCACTTCCGTTCCGCGCCTCGAGGAAGCACACAGTAGTGTCACAGGTCACAGTCGGCTCGCTGCCATCTGCCTGAGCGTCCGCGGAGCACTCGCCACCCAAACCAGGGATGTCAAAATCATGTCAACAACAACTGTTCTTCCAATCGAAATATAGACCCAGACCCTATCCTATGCAGTACTCCTAGTACTCTATGCACATCGTGCACGACTTTGCAAAGTTACACCACTATTTCGTTCATCAGTGATTCAGAACTCAAATCCCTACAATGGCTGATGGGCCATGATTGTGTTTCCGGGCGCTTAACGCAGGGGGTGTTGATATGCAACAGGGGCACGGGGGTCTCAGAGTGGATGACGTGCGGGCCGCGCGGGTTGGCTGGACCTCTCGCTCGCACCGGGCCAGAGTTGCCCGCGGGCCGAATGTATGTCTGAGACCCCTGTGGTACAGTCAACGCAGTTTAACGAAACAAAACCCTGGGGCCCGTGAGCTGCGCACACCATTTGCTAACGCTCATTTTAGTTGGATTGTAATGTAATCGACAGTTGGCTCGCGTCCTCTCGAATTTGAAGTTCGACACTTCTGATTGTTTTTAATACGCTACATAGTGCGGCGCGCGATGGGGCAGAAGAAGCCGAAGCTCAGCAAGGAGGAGCGGAAGGCCAGGAGGCTGGCGCGGCGGGAGGCGGCGCGCCTCAGGAGGATCCAGCGAGAGATACAGGCAAAGAAGGTAATGGAACGGTGACATTTCCCCACATACGGGTTTGGCTCACCCGGAGGTGCGATAACGGCGCGGATATAAACGCGACCACTCGCTACAATTTCGGAATGGGAAAGGTGAAACACTGCCCCAAATCGGTTTCCTAAAAGCACCTTCGCGCTTTGCAGACTCGAAACAATGAACATAAATTTGCCCACAGACAAGAGTGTTCCTTTCAGGACTGGCTGGACAGAGAGACCAGGGCCACCGAGATGAACGCGGTGGTCATCAAGCGGAAGTGGAGGGACATCATGCGGAGGCTACGCGCCCCGCAGCTCCACGACGACTTTGTGGTGAGTGATGCTGGCGTGCGCGGGGGCGGGCCGCCTCCAGGAGCCTCCTCGCAGCTGCGGTTCGCGCAGGAGTAGTAGTGGAGAGCCGCGTGATTTGTCTTCGACGCGGCCCAGGGCCGGCGGTGTCGCCGATTCGCCAAATTTATGCCGACCGCACGATAACCTCGGGGCGTTTCGTTCGCGCAAAACTGTCAGAAGAGCCGCCTGCTCCCGGCACGCCGCTCATTATTTGCCAGGAAAAAAAAATAAAAAAAATAATAACGAGAGGCGCAACAAATGTGAACGCGGCGCTATTCAACCGCCGCCGCGCCAACCACTCGGCCTCGGCGACTGCTGTTATGGCGCTAGGCGCTGCGGCTGCGGACGGAGCGCCTCCTGGACATGAAGAGAGCGATGATTGAGGAGCTGCGGGAGGCCCTGGACCAGGCCAACGACCAGTACGACGAGAACCTTCAGCACCACGTCGAGACCGTGGACAGGATGCTTGGTGAGGCCCCGGCGCTGTCGCTGGCGCCCCCCTGCTCTGCCCCCCACGCCGCGCTCAGCGCAGGATCCACCCCCCGCAGAGTTCTACCAAGGCGAGATGGCCGCGGCGGCCGGCTGGTACCGCGCCGCCCTGGCCGCGCTGGGCGAGGAACTGGCGGACCAGAAGGCGCTCGTCCGCGAGCACCAGGAGCGCGACGTCGGCCACCTCGAGGTCATCATGTTCGCCATGCAGCAGCGTCGGAAGGAGGTGGTGGCGCAGCGGTGCGCCGAGACTACCGTCAAGGTCGACGAGGAGGCCTCCAAGGTGAGTCCATGAGCATGGGGAGGTTGGGGTAGGCTGGGCCGACAGGTTCCCGTCCGTACCCTACACAGTATCGGGTTCGAGTGAAAGGTAGGCTGCGTCCCAATGTCCCAATTCTCATTTTGAGTCGGTCGGTCCCGGCTGGTCAGTCGCTCGGTCAGTGCGAGAGAGATAGTATCCATTAGAATTGCATTGTATACTACGCAGCATGCAGGTGTGCGTGTGCGTGCGGGTTGCCTACGCGCCTGGCGCCATGGCAAGTGACGATTAGCGAACCCGGCCAAGCGAATGCATGCATGGTAGTTTTATTATCAGTTGGTTTCTAGTTCAGAGTTACTGTAGGAAAGCTTTTCACGATTCGAGGCACGGCGCTGTAGTTCAGCGAAGCTAAAAGCCGAGGGGGGTGGCTCAGTGACGGCGAGAAAGCGTAGAGGGAGTGAGAAGAGGCTGGCAAGGCGCGAAATCAAGCAGGATCACGAAGGCGCGCGCGCGCACTCACACACACACTCACACTGCGCTCAGGACTTACCAGCTGCTGAGGTGGAGGATGGCAGTGAGATTAACGTCGTAGACTGCCTCGCAGAGAGAGGGAGAGTGTGGCAACACGCGGCGGCGCTGGCGGCGCTGGCTGCGGCCGGCAGGGAGGGTGGGTCTGGCCGCGGCCGCGCCTAGATGGGAACCTGTTTCCCTCTGGCCTACCCGGCCTGCCCGCGGCCGGCCGCCGGTCACCTGCCCGGTCCCCGGCCCGGGGCGGCAGCGGGAGGCCGGGTGAGGGCGGTAGACTGGAGCGGCCGGGGCCGGCCGGGCCGGGCCGATGTGCTGGGCGAGCGGACCGGTCACTACTTCGCACAGGCGGCCGCGGGTCCTGATGGCTCTGCCTTGACGGCGCCGGGCCGAGCTCCGGAGTCGGGTGCACTTGACGTGATGAGGACACCACCCTCACACGGCCTCTCGCAGCCCCCTTCGGCCGTGCCCCCCGGCCGTTCCCCGGCCAGCCGGAGCGAGCGGGGCCCTGCGGGTCAGTTTACATGTACGCCGGTGGCCGTCGCGCCCCGGCCCGGCCCGCCCGCACGGCACCGTGCGGTGCGTGTTTCGACACTCGTTGACCCCCTTAGCATGGAGGCGCTTCGGCAAAGTGTGTAGATTGCACGCGATAAACAATCGAAGGTGCAAAGGTGGCAAAGGCGTATCGCGTAATGAGCCTTGCACCACGCTGGGCGGCGCCGTGTGCCCGTGTGCGACCGCACGTGTGTGTGTGTGTGCGCGCAGGTGAGTCTGCGGGCGCACCCGGCCCCGCTCCAGAAGAGATGATGAGTATGATTTGAACCTGACCGGTCGTGCGGCCGCCGCCGCTGCGGTTCCGGGCTGCAAAATACCACCTGTGTGCGAGGATCGTATACCCGCACGAGGAGTATCGTGAGAATGAAAAGGACTCCATGTGTGAGGGACTGGATGTGGTCGGGGCGCTTGTTTTGCTGGCTCTTGCTCACCACTGGGCCTGGGGGAATGGGCGCGAGGAGGTACTACAACCCGTTCTGCTCACCGGGCTTTGTGGAGCGAACAGGGCCCAATTTGATGAGGACCTACATGTGTGCAGGGCGTGGAGCGGTGCCAGGTGCTGCAGATGGGGCTCGAGGCGTCGCTAGAGCGCGTCTGGGCCGACCTCCGCACGGAGCTGGAGCAGCACCAGCAGCGGCACGCCGAGCGGCGGGCCGCCGTCGCCAAGCTGAGGGCCAAGGAGCAGGCCGAGCACCGCGTCATCGCCGAGCAGAAGCGCCGCACCCGGCAGCTCAGCGTGAGCATGGCGTGAGCATGGCGTGAGCATGGCGTGAACCCGGGCCGGGTGACTCGTCATGCCAGCTGGAAGGTTTCCGCCCTTATTGTGCAGCGATAACTTGTCGCGTGTTGACGGGTTCTCTGCTTTGCGCGGGGCATCATGTCCGCTGGTAGGGACGCGGAGGGTGTACACACGGGAAATAAACGAATCCCGTGTAAATCTGCTCTTATTCCTAGACCTCCTACACATTGCGGAGGTGTGGGCAAGGCGTGAGTGAACATGGAGCACGGTCCTGTCACCTAATATTGTACGATTTTAGCTGCACCCTTCCTACTAGTGCGCGGGTAGCGGATTAGAAGTTGACAAACCAAACCCATGAATTTGTCCACCTTAAGTCTATCGGGGCCGGGTAGCGCCTGCGCCGAGCACGGCCGTGCTGAAGCACGCCTGACTGCTCCCCCAGCGCCAGATCGAGGAGGGCGTGGAGCTGATGCGGGGCTGGGACACGGCGGAGCCTGGCGGCGCGTCGGCGTCCTGGGCCGAGCTCCGCGCGCTGCGCCTCGAGCGCGACGAGTTCCGCGCCGCGTACCTCGCGCTGCGCGACGCCATGGACGGCCAGCGGCAGCACGACCGGAAGCAGCTCAGCCACATGGTGGTGCTGGCCGAGGCCGGCGTCAAGGTGAGGCGGCGAGCAGCCTGCCCCGGGGCGGCGCCGCGCGGCGTGCTGTTGGAGTGAACCGCTCCCCGTGCTTGCGTGCCCAGCGGCTGAGGGAGGTGGCGGTGTGTGGCGAGAAGATCCTGGCGCTGTCGTGCTTGTGCAACACGCTGGAGACGGACGAGGAGCGGCGCGTCTACCCAGAGGACGTCGGTGGTGCGGACGCCGGTACGGACGGCGTCGGCGTCCTTCCAGCGCTGTTTGGCAATAATCCGCGATGTGGAACCACCCTGGAGCCTCCCGGACTGCGCAGGCCGCGACGAGTGGCTGGCCAGCTACTGGGTGCGCGGTGCGGTGGACCGCAGGGACCCCTGGACCATCCGGGACGCGCTCGGCCCGGCCGCGTCGCTGGACGAGCTGCCCGCCGAGGAGAGTCACACCTGCTTCACCAACGACGGCGACGACCTGGCCGCCGAGGTGGACCGCGATGACGGCAGTAAAGAGGACGAAGAAGAGAAAATTGCGGAGCGGAGGAGGGAGGCCCTGCTGCGCGCCGCTCAGCAGGCCGACAGCGAGGACGAGGAGGACTTCATCGTGGAGGTAAAGGCCGGACCTCCCGCCGACCCGGCGACGCCAGACGCCCTCGCGAGCATCGCCGCGGCGGCGGTGGCCTTCCTGTTGCAGGCGGTGGGCAGCCTGGAGGGTCTGACGGCCTTCTGGGGGCGGGTGGGGGCGGCCGCGGCGGAGCGGCAGCGGGTGCGGGGGGTGGTGGCGCAGCTGCGTGAGGAGCAGCTGCAGCTGCGGGACGAGCTGCGCGACTACCTGCGCTGCGTGGCGCCCACCTGGTGGGGGAGCGAGCCCGTGCCGCGGGGCCCGGCCAGCCTGCCCGTTTACGAACCCCCCGCGCGGCCCAGGGAGCCCGGCCAGGGCGGCACCACCCCCTGGAGGGGCATCCGCACCGTGGGCCGCTGACCGTCGCGTCGGGGCCGGGCCGCAAGCCCACCACCGCCTCGAGGCGTCCAGACTGCGTCCAGAACTGCGTCGTCTGACACCAAGTCGTCCATCGCGAGGTCGGATCGTTAATGTTGTGGACGCCGCGGGAGGTGCAATTACAAGGACAGTCGCCATCACACATGCAATGCAACAGCATGACTCTATCGTCCCCGGGGAGTGCGCCGGGCCGGGCCGGGCGTTTGCCGACGGCTCGGCCGCGGCCCCGCGACCCTGCGCCTGCGGCGGGCGCTGCTGTGGAGCGACACGTAACAATGGGCCGTCCGGGCCGTCCTCATTGTCCCGATCAGGACCTCTCGTGACGTCAACCCCGCCGGAAATGTGCTCGATGGACCGCGGGGCAGGAGCGCAATGTCCGTCTGCGTATTCGAGTGTGTGTCGATGTCATCAATTAGGTTCCAACTAGATTGTATGTTTAAGTGGGTGTACCATTACAACGAGACCGGCCCCGGCCAAAGCCACATGGGAACGTGTACCGTGTGTTGTAGCTGTTAGGGAGGGATGCAGCCCAAATCTGCTGTGGCCTTTAGGTTATGAGATGTCGCTTGGGGATCGAACCTTTCCCAGATCAGTTTCTGTGACCTCTTATAGCGCCTGGTAGATAGGCAACATCTTTGCTTCAGTGCATGCGAGTGTTGCGGTGTAGCCTACCCTGAGTCTCGCAGGCGCTGAGCTCCAGTAATTTGTCAAAGGAATATGAGGAAAACCGGCGTGATCCCTTGTTCGCGACGCTGGTCCTTCCAAGAAAGTTAAAAGACCCTCACAGTTACGTCAACACACTATGCGCATGACGCCCACAGTAGAAGCATCGTCCGGCGTAGGAACGTTTGTTGCTCCTGGCGTTAACCATTCACTCTGAGCGGCGCGCGGGCAGTACCAATAGATTGGATTGGATTGAAGGAGGAGCTCTCTTGTTGAACTGCGGTAGAAAGCGAGGCAGCACGCTGACGGACTGTCGGGCGGGCACGGAGGCACGGGGCAGCGTGGTCTGTTCGAATCAAACGGGACCCGCCCGCTGCTCATCGTCCGCCCATCCCCTGCTCACCGGCCGGCTGCCCACCATCGGCTGCTCGCCGGCTGCCCACTTACTGCCCGCGCAAAGCCACTCCGCGCTAACCGCAACCCAACAACAATAATAGTTTCTATCCGTTTTCTCCTCCTAAAGCTCGGACTAGTGGGGCCCACACGTGTCTGCCACGGGCAAACATCACCGGCAGCGCAGCGTGTGGCAGCCGCTTGACCGACAAGAAGTCTAAAATAATTAATGGACGGTGTGTGGCACGCGTAGACTTCAGATCTTCCATCTCGTAGTTAAACTTCTATATTGTCTCGGAGCATGACACTTCATGGCGCGGCACTAGTACGCTAACGCCTGCCTTTGCATGCAGTGGTATAGTATGACTACACTACGCTTCCGGAGTTTGTCGGACACTGGGACACCATTGATGATATGCTGCAATATAGTTTTTCAAACGGCACTGACTTTGCATTGTAAACACTGCGAACGCACCTGGTACCTGGCCCTACCCTATCGTGTTTTCTCCGGCGCAGCATCCGAACCGGAGGTGGGCACGCGCCAGCAGCGGCGGTGACGACTGCATCACGTCACCCTCAGCCGTCATCATTATGCCTAATAACTCTATTTTGGCGGTGTAGGCGGTGGCTCTGGTGGTGGCTCGTCGGGCAGCGGGCTCTTGCCTGCCTGCCGCCGCGGTCAGCCTGCCTCTGTGCGCGGTGTGGTATGAGGAGAGAAGCATGCCCGTGTCTATTCTGAGAAAGCTGTGTACACAACGCCGCACTGCCATGCCGGCCGCACTGGACCGGAGCAAAGCCCACGGTCGTACCGGCAATTATTGGCTGTTTTATTTCCATCGGGATGCGGTCATCTCGGCGAGACGCGGTTCAACGAGTCAGTCGGAGCAGCAGAGCGGCCGCCGGCCGGGTAGGCAGCCCACCGCGCCCCTCCCCCCCCCCTCTTCCACGGGGCCTCCGGGGCCCTCAAAAGCGCTCTGCGGCGGCGGCCGACGCGACGCCGCTCGCGGAAATGGAGTTGTTTTTAATTACGCGAAAATTAAAAAGAAGAGTAAAAGAAACGTCCTGTGCAGCATAATTACAATTCCTCTTTCTAGCACGACTGCCGCCGGTTGCGCCGGCGCGCACATTACCCGCCCCTTATTAGTCGGCGCTGCGCTAGCCCCCGTCCAGCCCGCCGCACTGCGCGTCGCGGGTGTGGCGGGGCGGAGTGGGGCGGGGCCGGGCCGCCAGTCGAATGCCGGATGCTGGTCATGCGATTTACCGCACCTCGCTGCGCGGGACCGCCGCCTCGGCCCGACACGGTGACTCTGGTGACTCACATAACCTTTGGCTAAAAAAAAGAAGGGGGAGGGGAGGGGGGCTGTCTGATAAACCAACGTGCGCGCATTCAGGACCGATCGTTGTTCCGCCGCACCGACAGCCAACCGCCATGTGATTTGTAATGTCCGATGCGACCGACCGCCGGGCTGACGGCGCGATACGAGACAGGACGACGGATTGACCTCTCACTCGCCGACGGCCCGCCCGCCGGCACCTGGTGTAGTACGAAGCTGATAGTTTGGAAAGAGGCCGGCAGGGGGCGCGCGCTTGTTGCGGCAACAAGCCAACGTGTCTGCCGCCATGCCACCACCACGCCGCCCCTCGGTTGCGCGGGGGTTCTCTCCTATCCGCGCGGTGGCGTGGTCCAGGCCGGCAATCACAGCGTTCCAAACAATGCGAGGAAGACATCTGCAATCCGCATGCAGATAGCGCCGCGCGCCGCCACGCTCCCACGATCGATCATAAGCAGCCCTGCCCCCGCCCGGCCCCGCCCCGGCCTCCTATTGCGGCTGCACCACCACTGCGGCGGGGTGCAGTGCTCGCCGTATGGGCCGCCGCAGCAGGCGCGGATTAAGGGGGGGGGCGGGGGGGCGATCGCCCCCCCCATCGCCTCTAGAGAGCCGCCTGAAAGGTAGGCAATTCGCGCCACAAAACCCCTGTATGTAGGCAACCGACAGTGCATCGCCCCCCCTGTCAGCCGGACCTTAATCCGCCACTGCGCCGCAGCCTGGACCACCCTGTCGTCTGATTCGGAAGATCATTCAAGAGGGGCTTTCCTATATACCTCCCGTATAGCTCCGTCCTTGTTGCACTCATGGGGCAGGTATAGGAGAGCCCCTCTTGAACGATCTTCTGAATCAGACGGCTGCACACCGCTGCTATGCTGTACCGCCACACCCTGGACCGCCTTGTACACCGCTACGCTGTACCGCCGCACCCGGCCGCACCCCTGCGCGATGAGGCCCAAAGGAGGAGCAAGCGTCGAAGGGAATATGAACAGCCCCGCCAGCCCCGAGTCTCTTGTGAAGACCAGTGCACGCCCACCGCACCGCAGCCGCGTGAAGGTCGCGCAGTTAGCAGTCGTGAACACCGCCATTTGTATGTCAGAGAGAACAAGTTATGGCAAAGGCCAGAGCTGCCGAAAGGGGCATGTTCTACGACGACCGTACGCTTACGATTAAACCCGAAAACACGTACCGAATTACTCCGATAATGTGATGTTGGGACGGAAAACAGACTCTCACACAACACACCTGTAGTTCCGTGGACCCCCGAATCATTCTACTGGGCAGTTGGACCTGACAATCCGCGCTAGCGTGACACATGGCCACTGTACCCACTCATTTTTAATTGCGCCGTTTGGGTGACATTTGAAAAAGATATGCCGAGGATGTTTTCGCAAAGCACATTTCTTTATCCGTGAGCTTAGGATCACCGGCGGGAGGGGGGGGGGTGACTGATGAAGAGAGAAGAGAGAAAAGGATAAGGATAGACATACAAGGGCTTTTCCCCCCTCCCAGCACAGTTCAGCAGCAGAAGCGACAGGAGGCCTCGGCCCTTGGCTGGGCGCGCTGCGCTGGCTATAGCGGTGGCGCGGCGCGGAGGCGCGCAGAGCGCACTGCAGCGAGGCAGCGAGCTCGGCAGCGAGAGTGGGGAGTGGAGGGGGGAGCTGACACAGGTGATGCCCTCCCATTCCAGCCAGTTGCAACTCGCGCTCGGGCGAGAAAGGAGGCCAGGCCCGAGCGCCGTCCGTTTCGATCGCGCGAGTGACTTTGTCCGGCTCGGCCCGGCCCGGCCAGCACCGACCAGGGCCCGCCGCGGGTCCCCGCGAGTGCGTGTGATTGGATTACCCTCTGCTGTTCCACGACTCAGCCTCGCCGACATTGGATTATTCGCTCTTGGATACTGATTGTGAAACGCGTGTGTGGTGGTGATAGTGTCAATTGCGCTCCGTGTGTCTGTGTGTGTGTGTGAAAGAGTTTGAGTGACAACACCAGGGAACAGGGTTTGCGCAGCCCTATCAGTGAAACTAGTGGTTGTCTTTGAACGGGCGGCTCGCCACATGAGCAGCCCCCGGCAGTGGCCGGCAGCCCACAACCCCCCCGGCGGCGAGCTCTGCCCGCTCCGCCCCGCGGTCAGCCTGGTCAGCCCCTCCGGCACGCCCTAGGCGCTGGGGGGCTCGGCTCGGGGCGGCCATGCGGAGGCCGAGCGGTCGGCGCGCCCAGCAGCAGCAGCAGCGGGGGGCACCCGCCCCCGCCGCCCCCGCACCGCCGCCATGACGTACGAGGCCCTTGTCCTGCTGCTATGTGTCACCTGCCTCGCGGCCTACCCCACAGGTAAGAAGAGAGGGAGTCATGGCAATGACAACGGACAAGCCGACTGACGACGGCGTCAGAGGCCGCCGCGGTTGAAATGCCGGGGATAGTTTTCAGACCGACGGCTGACAGGGTATTCGGCGACGGTGCTCCTCCTGGAAGGTGGAGGTGGCGCGAACCGTATCGCAGCGTTAAATGGGCATAAATGATAGGTAGTTCGGGAAACTTGTTGCATACCATTTATTTATGCACTATACTACAAGCCGTTGACTACACTGTAAATCCGGAGTGTCCAGCAGCTGTGCGACTCAAGTCGCTGCACACCCCGGATTTACAGTGTACCCACAGCAGCCGAAAACATATCTCGCACGTTTCCCTCGAGGATCGGCTCGGCATGCAGGCGCGCAGCCAGGCTTTCATTTTGTGGAGGTCATGTCACAATTGTTGCCTACTTAAAGGGGAAGTGCCCCTCAAATTGCCTACCCATCAGGCGTTTTACTCTGGACAAGAAATCGATACCTTCGGGGTCCTTTGAGAGGAGGGTCATGACCTGCGTACCCTCCCCCCTCCGCCCTCCCCGGCTACGCACCTGGCACCATGGTACCTAACTGAAATGGGTTGACCTGCAAAGCACAACACCTCTCCGCCGCAGGGACCGAACTGAACATCATGAGTGGCGTGGAGGTGGGCTGGAGCCGAAGCAAACACTACACTCGTCAGCGCGCGCGAGACCTCCACGGCGCGAGGTGAGGCTGAGCCGAGTGGCGGCCGGAGCAGCTCGGACTCGACAGGTGGGGTTTTCCCCCCAATCCGATAACCTCAAGCTCATCCCGCATGAGAACGGCCGCTGGCGGGCCCCGGGCAGGCCGGGCCCCGCGTCGTCGTGGATTGGATTGCCGAGTACACGTATTATGTTGCTTGTCCGGGGCGGGGCGCGGCGTGCTCGCAAGGGGCGTGGGAAGGCCGTCGCCGGCACCTCGCCGTCAGCAACCCCAGCGCCACGAATGTTAAACAATTAAACCACAATAAATCCCAACAATAACCCACATCGGCAGGAAATCGCAACTGCACTTAATAATGTGCACTGCTTTGAGAGGATTTTTCTGTGCGCGGGGAGGAAGGTGCGCGCGCGCTGCTGACGCTCGTTACCGGACCGACCTCTCAAAGAGCCGCTCCCCGAAGCGCTGATTATAAAGCCAATCAAACAGAGGCGACCGCAGCCACACACGCGGCTCGTGTTGTCAGGCGGTGGTCGGGGCGCAGCGGGGCGCGGCGGGGCGCGGCGGGGCGGGCGGCCCTCGGGGAGATATCTCCTGCGCACCTCCACGGGGGTCAGGCCCCCCACACCGCCGCGCCCCACCCCGCTGCGGTCGGGAGAGAAGAGGAGAGATGTGCAGTGCGGTCTGTATGGGAGCGCCCGCCCCGCCTCGCCCCGCCCCGCCAGCCAAGTGCGACGCGCCAGATATTCATTAGAGGATGCGGTGGCTCTGCTCCGAGGAGCACCTCGTCGTCACGATATGGTGGTGAAGGAGGGCAGTGCGGCCAACGGCGGGGCAACCTAAACGCGGGCGGCTCGCTCGCTGCCCTCGTGGACCGACGTGTGGCGTGCGCTGCTGCACCCCCTCGGGGCCCGGGGCCGCGTAAGGTGGGGCGATGTGCGGTATCGCAAGGGGGCCATGCCACGACGCGGCCGATAGGTTGAGCACACCTACCTGTAGGTTGAGCTGTTGACAATGAGGCCAATGCGCTTTTGCGGTGAATCGGTCTGTGAATGGCGTTCCCCGATGGTGGTTTAAGGGGTGCCCGCTCCAAGGGTAGGTACGAGGTGGGCCATTTGGCTCAACTGACTAAATACTCGTTCCAGGCCCCAGTTGTGGTAATCCCTCGTCGCCGAATACGTGAATGCTTGTCCGTCTGACACAGCCGTACAATCTCTGTGCGTCAGTCACATGCTGTTGGCATACCTTGAAACGCTTAGACTTAGATCAAAGACAAGTTTACAAAGTAAATTTAAGGTGTCAGCTAGCTTTAACTCTCGAAATGGAAAGAGAACCAAGATGTTGTATTTTTAAGTTTTTCCCTCGTCCATCATTTTCTTTTATGCTGCTTTTGCCCCGTGGCTTTGCCACAGACGTCATAGCCGAGACGACACAAACGAGTATCGGAACCATGCAGTATTGCGCCTCGGCCAACATTTTACTACGTAGCGCGGCGAGTAACGCTCGCACACCGGCACGGTTCGGCGCTGCACGCCGCTGCACGCCCGCCCCCGATAAGCGGCCCGACGGCACGCACTGGCTTCCTCGCGCCGGTCGTGACGTAACTTTATGGACGGGGGCATACCTGTTCCTGACCGGACCACAGAGGTACGGGCCGGGCCGGGCCGTGACATCACCCCGCAAAAGCAGCCGCCGACGCCGCCAGGTGTTTTCGACATGTGGGACGGGGACGGGGGGACAGGCGGAACTTTGCCAGAAGTAAAGGTTGTCCAATTATTCCTCGCGGAGAAGGAAGGAGGAGGTAATCTCGAAGCGTTTCCGCGACGTTTAGTTTTGGGGGATACGCAAAATCGTGTGTGCCGCGTGTGTGTGTGCAATAGGTAATCCACCCCAACCTGTTGTCCGGTCTGGCGACCTGCCGACAAAAGTGCTTTTTAGCGGCCGTAGGATAAATTGATTTTGGATTGATTTTTCCGCAGGTGTGTGTGTGTTTGTAACCGTGTTTCTCTGTCGTTTTTTATTTCAACGTTTTCCCCGCCGCACCGGCGTGTGTGAACCACACCACACCGGCGCGTGTCTCCGCCTTGCTCGCGCCGTCTCCCTTCACTCATATACATCCTCCGCTCCACGCACCGCCCGGCCTTGGGGCGTAAACGCTTTTGCGTTTGGCGTCTAATTGTGCGGTGGGGCTGCGCCAGGCTGCGCGCTGTGCGCGATCTCGTCGGAGCTCGGGCTCGTGATGATGGGGAACAGCGATGACGCTCATTGACTTGAATACGTTCCCCCTCGTCGGCCGACCCGCGCGACCCGCGCGCCGGCGGGGCGGTGCTTCGTTTCCGACGACGCGACGACAAAACCTTGTTGCCGTTGTTGTTGTTGTCTCTTTACTCCTTCCTGCAGCGAGCAAATGAGACGGACACTGTTCTTGCTGGTTGTTATTGTTTGTCGGTGGTGCCGGCCGCTATGGTGTCCTGAGCACGCGGCAAGATCGGCGAGGATAAGGAATGAGGAGCGCGAAAAAAGGAGTGGAGAACGAGAGAAAAAAGGAGAGAAAAAAAGAGGGAAAGAAGAAAGGCGGGCATCCCGCCCTTCGCTCTCTTCCCCTCTCCCCCACCCCTTACCCCTTCAGCCGCCCCGTCCTTCACGCTTCGCCCCCGTGCTGGTGTTCGACCCACAACCAACCCAACCCCGCGGCCAGCAAGGCAAGTCGTCGCCTAGGCGTTAGTGCCGATGTGACTATTTCAAAGCCCTTTCAAGAACTCCTTCCTTGAAAAAATAAATACAAATGAATTGTCGTCATATTCAAGTTAACTGATGGCGCTCGACGTCGCCCTGTCGTCGTGACGGCGGTCTAAGGGCCAAGCCGTACACCAGCCTGGGCGAGGTCTCTGTGTTCAGACAGAAAAGGAAGATCCATTCCCGCGCCCCGCCCCGCC